GGCTAATCTACATGCCTCCGTCGAAGGAGGCATGTAGTCTAGACACACCCTGACACTTAGGAAGTTTTTCCTAATGTCCAACCTAAACCTCCCTTGCTGCAGTTTAAGCCCATCGCTTCTTGTCCTAACCTCAGAGGTCAAAGAGAACAATTTTTCCCTCTTCTCTTTGTAACACCCTTTTAGATCATTTATATAGGACTCTGTAGTGTAAAGAGGGACTAGAAAGGGGGGAGACAATGGAGTGTAAATAAATTCACTAAGACTAGCGTTACCTGTACTAAACTATGTTGGTGTGACTGCAACCGGGATAGTAATCTCATTTGTTGAGAGAGGGATGTGGCTAAGTCAGTGCAAAAGCTAGGAGCTAGGCAAAGGTGAATTGGTGAAATTAAATCCATTTAAAATCTGTGTACACTGAGGCAAAGCATTAATGTAGACTTGCTTATATCCATGTAATCCTCGCTCCAATAAATTTAGCTTAATTCACAGAAGTTGCACAGATTTAAAGTTGAATCCATTTTTTTAACCAGTTGTGTGGACACTTAAATTGCTACTGAATTAGGGTGATTAGGTACCATCTACTCTACAACCAATTTACTGCTCAAAGGAACTGTGCCAGTTCAAATTAAATCAGTTTATTTATAGAGCCATAGATTCCAACCCCAGAAAGGCCCAGTGCAATCAAGAGTCTGACCTACTGTATACACAGGTAATAGAACTCCCTCCGAAATAATTTCTGGAGCAGATCTTCTTTTTAGATATCTGTCACAAAAACATCCAGTCTTGATTTTAAAATGGTCAGTGGTGGCAAATTCACCATGACCCTTGGTAAATTAAGAACATAAGAACATAACAATTGTTCCAATTGTTAATTACTTGGACTGTTAAAAACATGTCTTATTTCCAGACTAAGTTTGTTTAGCCTCAATGTCCAGCCATTGGATCATGTCATACTTATCTCAGCTACACTGAAGAGCCAATAATCAAATATGTATTTCCCATCTAAACACTAAGGTTACGTCTACACTGGCATGATTTTCCAAAAATGCTTTTAACGGAAAACTTTTCCGTTAAAAGCATTCTTAGAAAAATCGCGTCTAGATTGGCAGGATGCTTTTCCGCAAAAGCACTTTTTGCGGAAAAGCGTCCGTGGCCAATCTAGACGCGGTTTTCCGCAAAAAAGTCCCGATCGCCATTTTTGCGATCGGGGCTTTTTTGCAGAAAACAGTACTATGCTGTCTACACTGGCCCTTTTGCGCAAAAGTCTTTCGGAAAAAGACTTTTGCCCGAACGGGAGCAGCATAGTATTTCCGGAAAAGCACTGATGATTTTACATGAGATCGTCAGTGCTTTTCCGGAAATTCAAGCGGTCAGTGTAGACAGCTGGCAAGTTTTTCCGCAAAATCATCTGATGATTTTGCAGAAAAACTTGCCAGTCTAGACACAGCCTAAGGGTGTGTCTAGACTGCATGGGTTTTTTTGAAAAAAAGGGGTCTTTTTTCGAAAAAACTTCCCCTGCAGCTAGACTGCTGCTGCGTTCTTTCAAGAGGAAATCAAAAGAACCGGGCAGTTTTTTCAACCATGGAAAAACCTCGTTTTATGAGGAAAAATGCCTTTTTTTCGAAAGAGCACTTTGAAAAAAAGGCGCTACGTAATGCAAATTGTGCTTTTTCAAAAAAGAGCATCCAGACTGCCTGGGTGCTCTCTTTCAAAAAAGCGGCTTGCTTTTTCAAAGTACTGGTTGTAGTCTAGATGCTCTTTTTCGAAAAAGGCTTTTTTGAAAGTATATTTCGAAAAAGCCTCTTTCGAAAGGGGCTCACAGTCTAGACATAGCCAAAGTGATTGTAATCAAGACATCTCATAACCACTTAGCCATTTAAAAACCGCTGGAGATAAATGGATACAATTTCTGCATGTAAACCAGCTCTATGAAATACAGGTTGAACCTCTCTAGTCCAGCATCCTCTGTGCTGAACCAGAGAATTTGTTGGAGCATGGGAGGTCTATATTGTCTAGCAGCATTGCCAACACTTCCACTGCTTAAAAGACTCTTAAAAGGCCCTTAAAAGACAATTAGGGGTAAATTAAAGCTAAAAAACAGCACAGAACACAGAGAGCCAGTCTGATGGCTGTAAAGAAACTTTATGGGACCATGGGAAACTTGGCCACATCCATGACAAGTGGATATCTGGCTAACTAAAATCATGCCGGACCACAGAGGTTGCTGGACCAGTGAGTGCTGGACTAGAAAAGTTCAACTTGTACTAACCGTTAATGCCCAGAGTACCAAAAGAATGGGTGTTTCACGTAAGAGCCACAGCTGCAGTGCAATGATAATCTCACAGTAGAGTACATAAATAAATAACATTGAAATATCCTTCCATGAAAATCATTCCTCTTCTAAAAATACAAATGCCCGGATATTGGAGCGCTTGCAAGGAAAGAGCGTAATTTGACCATCTTCAATGAAGCCAAATGTCTATTTAAGTCAACAGGAGCAAAAGACCCTCCAACCTCAGAGCAGGAGCTCAGCACATTTAGTTGGTCCAAGGTGGATAAGGCATCTCAGTCCAGCATTTCAGTGACACCTGTTAGACCAGACATTTTGAAATGCTGCAGAACTGCGTCAATTATTGTTTGCTCTTTGTCAGTTGTAAGCATCAATAAACATTCATTTGAAGCAATTATTTCTATGACTGTTGAATGGCCTGGAGATTCCTCCAGCAGAGAGCAATCAAGGCCATGAAAATGATTTTGCCGCAAAATGTGGCCTGTTTCATTTGTGCTAAAATAAAAGATTCTCCCTTCTCCGGTATGTTGTATCTAATCGAGCTCTGGTGCAACATCAATGGAGTTATGCCAAAGGTGACTTTGACTAAGTGGGCTGGATCTGCCATTGGTGTAAATGTACACAGCTCCATTGAAGTAAGGGGAGCAAGGCTAATTTACACCAAGGGTATGTCTATACTTGCACCCTCTTTCAAGAGAGGGATGCAAATGAAGACATTTGAAATTGCAAATGAAGCCGGGATTTAAATATCCCACGCTTCATTTGCATAATCGCATTATGGTACTATTTCGAAATAGCACTGTTTTGAAATACAAACAAATACAGTGTAGATGCGGTTATTTCGGGAGAACACCCTTCTTCCAAAATAATCCTTATTCCTCATAAAATGAGGTTTAACAGTCACGTCTATACCGCGTTTTATATTTCGAAATAGCGCCATACCATGATTATGCAAATGAAGCATGGGATATTTAAATCCTGGCTTCATTTGCAATTTCAAATGCCTTCATTTGCATCCCTCTCTTGAAAGAGGGTGCATGTGTAGACGTACCCCAGGGGAGGATCTGGCCCAATATGTCTTGTGATGCCAGAGTATGTTGGTAACAGAAATAGATTCAATGAGCAGGGCACAGCCACAGAGTGTGGCTTTACTCAAAAAGCCCTCCTGTGTTTCAGGGTCAGATCTCAGTTACATTGGTGTAAATTCGATGATATTCTGCGGCAGTCCATGCCGCTTGCCTATTGTAGAAATAAATAATCGCTGTAAACAAAATTTCACTGGCTTTGCAAATCAGTGTAGAGAGCAAACAGTAAAGTACAGACAGTACACAGTTCTGAGCTTAAGTCTTAAGTCTTGACTGCAAACTGAAAGGTCGCACATGCAACTGTTAATCATAAGAATGGATCTTATTCCTGAGAGCAGTTTCAAGGATTACCTTAGGAGTATGCGTTGCATAAGGACTATTTGCCTTTATTAAGGGTTGCCCCCCAAAAAACTAAAAGAGACTTTGGCTAATCCAAATCTGCAGCAAATATAAACTCAACTGCAGAGAAAGTTTCACGGTGGAGGAAAGGGGTAGGAATGCCAGCAATGAGTTGCTGTGGCATCTTTTTTACTGAATGATGACTCGCCAGTTCTTTAAACTTAATCTTCTTTTCTTTTTATTTAAGAATCCAGAAGACGAAGATGCAAATGTAAAAGGTTGGTAAATGACCACATGGGGGCATTTTCTCTTTAGTTCAGTGGCTTCTTGAACAAAGTGTTATAAATTACACTGATACCAAAAACTCCCATGCATTCTACGTCCCCTCTCCCATGCTTGCACATTATTCATTTTGAGGTTTTGTGTGTGCCATTACCTCAGGAAAATCAGCCTTAAGGTTGTGACCGCCCAAGTTGCGAACCCCACACTTACAACCATTTTTTAAGTGTGGAAGGTCCGTAAACCCCCAACTTATGTCCTCGTCCCGCATTTATGATGGTGGACAGTGCACAACGCCTATCGTAAATGAGAGTCGACTTACAGCGCCCCAGACTTGCGACACTTCCTCAGCAACTGATTGTGTCGCAAGTCGGGGGCTCCCTGTATGTGCTTAAAACTGAACTGTACTTAAATCCTTTTCTGGATCAAGAATGTGATTAAAACTGAACTGTACTTAAATCCTTTTCTGGATCAAGGCCAGAGTGATCAACTCCTCACAGGATCAAGCCCTAAGTGTGTAACAAAAGACCTGTCATAATATACACACACAAGGAGGCAGTATTACAGTTGCTATGGAAACTGGAAAGTTCTGAATTTTTTGACATCTCAAATATGAGGCCCATTTTCTTGCATTTTTCTGTTTCCAAAACTATGACAGAATGCAAGAGATGCAGTATCTGGCCCTCTCTGTTGCATTAACATGGAGTTTGGGGATACTTTTGGATGTCATTTCTTTCTCCCTTTTTCAAATAATTGCATGATGTTTATCTGAATGAACGACTGCACATTCAGATAAGCAAACTAAAATGTACCTGTTATCAGTATAAACAAATGAACAAACAAATGAATGAATAGCAATAACAACTAGCATTCGGGCTCAACTCGACAAGTTCTGTCCGCACAGACTTCATGGGCACTCCATACACCATGGCTACGTCTAGACTGGCATGATTTTCCCAAAATGCTTTTAACGGAAAACTTTTCCGTTAAAAGCATTTTCGGAAAAATGCGTCTAGATTGGCAGGATGCTTTTCCGCAAAAGCACTTTTTGCGGGAAAGCATCCGTGGCCAATCTAGACACGCTTTTCCACTAAAATCGGGGCTTTTTTGCGGAAAACACTACTGTGCTGTCTACACTGGCCCTTTTCTGGAACAGTTTTCTGGAAAAAGGACTTTTGCCCGAATGGGAGCAGCATAGTATTTCCGGAAAAGCACTGATGATTTTACATGAGATTGTCAGCGCTTTTCCGGAAATTCAAGCGGCCAGTGTAGACAGCTGGCAAGTTTTTCTGGAAAAGCTGCTGATTTTGCGGAAAAACTTGCCAGTCTAGACACAGCCCATGTGCTTATAAAATCACATTCTTATTGTCCATCTTAAAAGCTATTGCCAGCATTAAATAAGACCTCACAATAGCACTGATGGGAAATTAAGGCAAACAGATGTAAGTAGCTTTAAATTATTTGCCAGTGGCCCGCTAGCACAAATCCATACTACAGACAAGCCCTAAGTATCACTGTGGGGATTAGCATTTAGAAGATCTGGATTTAAGGAATGCTCGGTGTAATATTTTCAAACCTCCAAAGCCTTTTATTTTGCAGATCCAACCGCTGCAAATACAGCTCAGCTCACATGCTCCCTTCAGGGCCCACAGAAGTCAGATTTTAAATTTCAAAACAAGCTACATTTGAGTTACCTGACAAAAGAATAATGTTTTGTGAAAGGCTTTTCAATGAAAATGCCTTCTGATCTTTAAACAGTTGCTACCACCATATTGTGATCATATCATAGCACATCAGATCCTCTACACAGGACTGGCTCCCTTCACCCCGCAATGTCCCTCTATTATCTCATTCTGTCTCCAATATGAAACATTTATTGCCTTACTGTCATTCTTACCTACTGGTGAATGTCTCCTGTTCTGATCCAGAGAATAGTAGCGGATACGGTCAAGACGAACTGAGTATATAATAGTTTTTTTCAGTTTTGGGCTTAAACTGAAAATAAAAAAGGTTCAGTTCCAAAACTGATTTTTTTTCAAAACAAAATACCATTTTGGAACAAAAAATAGTTGTTTTTCATGTTGAAATGATGAAACTGATACCCTCCAACATTTTTTACAATACAATTCCGATTGTTTTTGGCCAAAACTATTCACTGGGTTTGACCCTAATTTGCAAATAGTTTTGGTGACTTGAAAATGCCTTTTGTGGTGTATTTACTATTCACCAAAACAAAACAAATTAACTTAGCTCCATAACAGCCCCCAGCTAAGAAGGGTTGATTCTTTAGTTCAAGTTGTAGCAGCTCATTTATAGATCTGGACATGCCCAAATCAGCAGGGCTTGACAGACTCCTGGGTCCCTGGGCAAGGTGCGTGGGGTGGGGAAGACCTGACTCCATGCTCCTGGAAGAGGCGTGGCTTCAGGCAGAAGGGGTGGGGCTGGGGGAGCCAGCCCCCAGCTTTTCCCGACACATGCTGCGCTGTATTGTGTCTCCCCCACCTTGGCAGCCCTCACAGTGGCCCGGAGTGCACCACAGTGGCGCTCCACCAGCGATTTAAAGGGTCCAGGGCTCCAGCTACTGCTGCTGTTGCATGTCACCAAGCCCCAGGGCAATTGCCTCCTTTGCCCCCCTTGTCGGCAGGCCTGCCCCAAGTCAGTCCCTGGTGTGTCGGCTAAGAGATCACCATGCCATGATGATTTTTTTTTTTTTTTTGTACAGCACCCAGCACAACGGGTCTTAGTCCATGACTGGGGCTTGTAGATACTACAGTAATAAATAATAAAAATATTGCCGGTTTGCCTACCCAAAACTCCCATTGCAATTACTATGCTATTTTAATATGGGAAAAACTTAAGAGGAGAACTATGGAGTATGGAACTCCGAGCGTGAGATACCAAGTGCTTCAGGAAACAGACTTTTTTATTAGACGGTGCATATCTGAAAAAATTACATTTAAATTTCTTACATTTCCATTATTTTAAAGTTTTTCCCCAAAAGAGCTTAGCAAAGCAAGTATGCCTTAGTGCATCAAATGCATCGGCTGATGTGTCATTTGTGCGACAAATGAAAGCTTGGGGAAATGGAAACCAGTATGTACATATTTCCCTATTGCAGTCAAAACCAGCTAAAGAGATTATACTCAACCTTCCCCAAAAATTCACCTGAGGACTGACTGAAACTTGGAAAATGTCAGGCTAGAAGGAACATCCTGGAAAATGTTTAGGCTATGAGCCCTTACTGGGGAGGTACCCGGTTCCTTTTTGCAACATGTGGGCTGTGTCTACACTGGCCCCTTCTTCGGAATAGCCATGCTAATTTAGAACTTTGGAATAGGGAAATGCGCGGGGGATTTAAATATCCCCCGCGGGATTTAAATAAACATGGCCACCGCTTTTTTTCCGGCTTGGGGAAAGGCCGGAAAAGAGTGTCCAGACTGGCGCGATCCTCCGGAATAAAGCCCTATTCTGGAGGATCTCTTATTCCTACTTAAAAGTAGGAAAAAAAGTGGCGGCCATGTTTATTTAAATCCCGTGGGGGATATTTAAATCCCCCGCGCATTTCCCTATTCCAAAGTTCTAAATTAGCATGGCTATTCCGAAGAAGGGGCCAGTGTAGACGTAGCTGTGGTGTTTTAACCTCAGACTTTACAGCAGTGAATAAAATAGGTGTCGCAGACATTGACAGGAAATCAGAATTAAAGGCCCAGTCCTGAAAATCTTTATTCACAGGCATAGACCTTGCTCTGGTGAGAAGTCCCACGGATTTCGATAAGAACCCTTCAGAAGTCAATGGCACAACTCAAAGAACTGCATCTCAGCTGGGTCTGGCTGCAGGACTGGCACTGGCAACTTCAGGGTTTATGTTTGCCACTACCAATGAATTATCAGTGAAAATATGTAGCGTATACTGAGCCAGAGCCTCAGCTGCTGTAAACAAGCATACATCCAAAGGCCCTGGAGAGGGGCAGGTTAGGATCAGGCCCAGTAGGCTATCCTTTTAGCTGGACCTGATTAAACTAGATAAAATAAGAATGGCCATCCTAGTCAGACCAGAGGTCCATTTAGCCCAGTCTCCTGCCTTCCGACAATGGCCAATGCGAGGTGCCTTGGAGGGAACAAACAGAACAGGAAATCATCAAGTGGTCCCTCCCCTGTTGCCTATTCCTATTACAATAGAAGAAGGTGATTTCAGATATTACCCAGACAGTCCTGGGCTGGATCCGGTGTGTACTGAGCACCTGCTGCACCGTATCTAGTGTCTGAAGTGAATGGGAGCAGTGAGTGCTAAGCAGAGAGCTCGACCTCGGATCCTTTGCTCACCTAAGCAGTCCCAGCACTGTTGGAGCTGCAGTTCATATGAATGAGAAGGATTAGTAGCATCAGGTCTGAGATACTCAGCATTTGGCTGCTAATAGACTTGGAGTGCACAGCAAGCAGGAAATGGGCTTATTATTTGCTCCATGTTTGCATCATATTATAAAGCATGATGATGATTATTGATTAGTAGTGCCAAGAGCCCCAGTCGTGGACCAGCGCCCCATTGTGCTAGGTGCCACACAACCACAGTACATAAAGTCCCCAAGCACCTACAGTCCAACCATCAGACAGGAGACAACAGATGGATGCACACAAACAGGGGAGTACAACGAATGATTGAGACAATATTGCTCAGCCTGACAGGCAAAGGTCTCCGTGCACCAGCAACAGAACCGTTGTCAAGCTTTTTGCAGGCATCACAGCAAAAAAAAAAAAAAAGATTTTTAAGGAGGATTTGAGGGAGCATAATGTATTAGTCATGTGAATGCTTATGGGGAGGCTTCTCCCAAGTGTAAGGGGCTGCACGGGAGAAAGCACAAAGGTGATTGTTTGAAATGTTAACAAGTGGGAGATGGAGAGTGATTTCATGGTCTATCAGAGGCAGCAATTGCCATCTTGATTCTAAATGAGAAATGACAGATAAGGTGGGGGTAAGTCATGACAGGCCCTGAAAGCAAAGACAAATAGATTTTTAGGCTATGTCTAGACTGCAGGCTTCTTGCGCAAGAGCGCGTCCACACTGCAAAAGCACATTGGAAAAGCGATGTGATTTTGCGCAAGAGAGCGTTCAGACTTCATGGTCACTCTCTCGCTAGAAAGCTCTGATTGCTATTCACAGGATGGCCACCAGGGTACCTGTGCTGCTTCTGGTAGGCTGTTTTTATGCAAAAAAAACCTGTTTCCTATCCCCACACACCTTTTTGCACGAGAGTTCTTGCATAAAAAGGAGTTATTCCTCGGAGAAAGAGGAATACCTATACCGCAAAAAAACCTCTGTTCTGTTGACTCACTGTAAAATTTTCTTGCACAAAAACGTGCTTGAGGTGTGGACGTTCCACGGGTTTTTGCGCCCATTTTGGAGCAAAAACCCTGTAAGGTAGACGTAGCCTTAGATTTGGAAAGGAATCCGTTTTTATCAGTAATGTCAGTAAACACTGATTTCACTGCACACATGCAAACCAACAAAAACATATTTCCGTTGATACTTGAAATTTACAAATAGGCAAAATAAGAAAAATGCTGGTTCAGAACTTTTTAGGATCAACATCCACTTATTTTTTTCTTTTGAAATACACTTATTACAAATGGACTAGCAACTTAATAATAAAACTAGGTATGGCTGGTTGATTTAAGACTATTTAATGTGTTTATTTTGACCTGTGATGTGGACAATTTCTGTTTTAATGGTTTATAAAAATTTAATTTTCTGAACCTCAGCATCGAAAGTCAAGAAATAATTGTGCCCCCCTAATTTCCCATAACTGTGAAAATTTAAATTGATAAAAATAGAAAAAAAGTCTTAAAACCCATAAACTGTGCAACTGTGAACATAGAAACTGATAAAGTCTAAAAAATTGTTTAAAATATACATAGCCATTTGTTGAAATTATAAAAATAAAATAAAAATAAAATTCTTCCAAGCCTACTTATGTTTGATACAAAGCAAACATTTCAGTCTGTGGTTTTTAGACATTTACATACTTTCTTAAGATCAGAAGCAACCCACGGACCACATGCCCTTTTTACCTCCCAGTTCAGAAGCCACACCTGCTGTGCAGAAACCAAAGATCTTAGCTACTTGAAAAAATAGTAGCACGACAGGATGGCAAATAAACTCACTTCAGCATGCTAAGTATTGACAGCTTAGTTACTTCCCTCCTTTTTTCTTGGGTCTACTTCCTGTTTGCTGCATAGGACTTTACAATAGCGTGCAAAGGATTTCCCCCAGTTGCCTGCAGCCCCTACAGCCCTAATCAATCCAAGTCACTTTGCATTAAGGTTATTTTCCATGCGTGCTTGTTACCCCTCCAGGTCTGGTGCTGCAGACAGAATTGATTATGCCACATGCTAATGCTTGCCATTTTTTCAAAAAATCTCATAATATTGCACCATAATGTTAAGGTGCAAACTTCAGTAGTCAATTTGTTAAAGTTATGTTAAAGTTTCCACTTTTGTTTTAAAAAGACAATTCTTGTCCTCATGGTTGCAGAGAAACACCTGAAAACATAACCTGGGTGTCTCCTAAAGGCTCAGAAACTAGAGGAAGCAAAATGCAGGACAATGTAGCACCTTAAAGACTAACAAGATGGTTTATTAGATGATGAGCTTTCGTGGGCCAGACCCACTTCCTCAGATCAAATAGTGGAAGAAAGTAGTCACAACCATATATACCAAAGGATACAATTTAAAAAAATGAACAAATATGAAAAGGACAAATCACATTGCAGAACAGAAGGGGGATGCGGGGGGGTGGGAAGGACTAGAGGCAAATAGAAAGAATCCAAAGTGCTTTATTTTTTTAAAATCCCATGGTTTTAAAGCCAATCTTGTGATTACAGGGGGCTTAACTCATGATTTTTGATGTTTGGGCTTGGCTATGCTGTGTTGCAAAAAACAATATGAAGTAGCTGCACAGGATCCAGATTGGGAACTAGGTTGTCTATCAAAAAGCCTTTATAGGTCCTGAAAGTTCTGGACAGGGCTGCCACTAACAGAAAGTGTCACTAGTTGATGACTAACAGATGCTCCACCACCAGAAGTGCTTCACGGTCTACAGTTTGAGAGAACCACTGGTTTAAATCCCATTTAATTAGTTAATCAGTTAATCATTAAATTTAAACCATTAACTAATTAAATGAGAGCATGTGAGGGGCTTCCATCCCGGTGTATGGCTGCTTTTTGGGTACCAATTAATAGTTGCCCAGTAAACATCACCCATTAAGGGTGATACTTACTGGGTAACAATTAAGCAGTTACCCATTAATATCACGGACAATGAGTGAAGGTAGGACTGGGGGAAGTAGGCCCTCCCTCCCCAATCCCGTCTTAACCCCATTTCTTCTGCCCAGGCCTCACCATGGGGAGATGGGGCAGCGTGTGGCTCTGGATCCCTCCTCCCCCTCCACAGTACCATGGGGATATCAGAGGGTGCATAGCCCTAGACACACGCTGGGGGCGGAGTGTGGGCAGGACATGCCTGATGGTTTGGGAAGGTATATCTCTTCCCCCACCTATAATACCCGCTGCCCCTACTTAACTTCCCTAGTTCAGATGAAGGCCAAATGAGCTGATCAATGTTGGGAGATCTTGCTTTTATACCAGTCTCATTTTCTTGTTCATTTCACATCCAAGTAAATCCTGAACATTGCCTCTTCCTCTCTCTCTTTAGACCTATGAATGGGAACAATGGAAAACCCAGCATGCCAAACAGATATGTGTAATGTGACCGAGCCATTTGTATCTGGATCGCCCAACGGGAGCTGTCATCACATAAACAAGCCATCCGTCCATTTCCGTTCCTCAATCTCACCCCCACTTTATTTTTAAAACTGTTGTTGTACTTTCTATTCTGTTCATTTTTAAAGGGCAAACTGTTCAGAAAGAGCATATGGACATTGCTGGACACCAGCCCCTCCAAACTTTTCATGACAGTATTTCAAGCTGGTTTCCAAGTCTTAAAAGAAAAGTATTCCAAATGATGTAATCTGAAACTTTGGCAAAGTGCCAATGTATTTGACGTCTGTGGGCCAAATCCTGAAATTTGCATTGTCTTTACTCAAGCAAATATCGCTTGACAGCCAAGAGACCTCACCGTTCGGTCTGCTGGGAATTTTGCCTGCATAAAACTGAGTAAAGACTTCCAGATTAGGCCTGCTGGGACAAAGTATGTGATCCCGCAGCCACTGAACTCATGCACTTCAGTGATGCATTTCTGTGGCCTCCGAAGCAGTGTTCCCTCTAATCTTTGTGGCAGCACAGCTTCCCAGGTGATTAATCAGCCCCTCCCAGTCAGTCAGCTCCATCCAAGGAACCCTGAGTCTCTGACTGGGGGCAGAGGCTGATTAATTACCTGTGAAGCTGTGCTGCTGCACAGTTTAGTGGGAACACTGCTCCTGAGCATAGTTTTGTTGCTGTTTACAATGGGAATGATATTTAATCTTATGAACATCCCAACACCAAGCTAGCTGGTTGTGGGGCATTAGCACAGGCCCCAGGCACTGCTAAGGGGCTCCTGATTTTTATTTTTTAAATGGGGCAAAAAAGCCAGATAAGTTTTTGAGCAATCACAGTTTAGTATCGGCAACTGGCTAAAGTCAATGAAACTGTAAAACTTTTAGGAGACATGATGCAGTATTGAAAGGGCAAATGCTACATACAGGCTGTTATTTCTTTTACGGTCCCTAAGACTAAAGATTGCAGGTTCTGTCACTCTGCCCTTACTCAGGTAGGCGCTCACTGAATTCAGTGGGAGTTTTGATTGGTCAAGGTATGCAGGAGGATTCATCCTGATTTTAGGCACCCATAAGTAAGTAGCCAAGAGTAAATCTAGCCCCACTCTCCCTTCTGCAAACCAGTGTTTTAAGCATGGAATGAAAGATTTTATTTTTTTCCAACTATGCAGTTGATGTAAATATTTTCTTGCTGTAATTGCTATAAAATCTTTCAATATTTCTGTTCCCAACAATCAGTATAAATACGGTGGAACAATTCAACTATACTTCTAAATATTCTCACAGAAGTGCATCTCCTTTTCTTTGTCTTAGCCTCCGAAAAGCTAGAGAACTAAATAGAAAGAGAGATGATCTTTCTGCTGAGAGATTTCATTGAGGGTAGGAAGATATTGCTGTGGTTAAAGATGCCTATCTGGGCTTCAGGAGACCTGGGCTCAAACCCCAGCTTTACCACATTTGTAACCTTCATTGCTCTGTGCCTCAGTTTCCCATCTGTAAAAAGGGGACAATAATACTTCCCTATCTTGTTGCGATGCTACAGCCCTAACTACTTTGGAGGTGCTCAGATACTTTGGTGATGAAGGCTTATAATTCCATAGATGCAAGATGCTGACTGGCAAGAGAGATTTCATATTTATACACACATCAACCAATCTCAACACTTGTGAATAGGTTCTTTCACTAGCCCAAAAATACTTTGGTGGCATATTTTAATAATCTACAAATACTGAGATATAATAATGTAATAAACACTGCATGTTGACCTGATCAGCAAGTGGAAGTTACAGTACAGTACGGTGGATTGGGGGAATGTCCTGTATGAATGTATTGATCTCACTTAATAGGGGGCTGTGGGGAAAAACAAGTAGGAAAGCAACAAGATAGCTACAGGCAAACAACCCTCCCAACAAACATGGGAACAGAAGTAGTGTGAGGGCCCTTTATAACGCAATGGCATTCCTCCGGGCCAAAGTGACATTGCAATCCTGCCAATGCAAGGAACTCATAGATCAAAGGGCTGTAAACAGTTACATCTCCTCAGGAGAAGAAGGAGGGTCAGTTGTCTGCCCACAGTGACAAACCTAGAGAGAGGCTCTGTGGAAGAGTCTGAAAGACTAGGATCTTTCCCCAGATCCAGGGAATTGTGTACTTTAGGGCTGTGGTGCCCAACCACAGCGAGCTAGCCACACTCAACTGGCCAAATAGCCACTAGCGGCTAGTGTTTTGGACATCACAGCTTTCAGAAAAGACAGGCAAGCATGTAGGGAGTTGATTGTTTTGAGATTTGTTTTCTTTGAAAAGCTTTTGTACTAAATAAATAATACTTTGCTTGACGAAAGCGGCGTGGTCACTAATTATCACTGCCAATGGCTCCAGGGAGATGGAATTGCGGGCACCGAAGATAAATCAGACCTGCTGAGGTAACCATGATTGATCACAGAGGATTGGAGTGTGGGAGGAGCACATGATTCCATGCCAAGAGATCAGTATCAGAGGGGTAGCTGTGTTAGTCTGAATCTGCATAAACAACGAGAAGTCCTGTGGCACCTTATAGACTAACAGATTTATTGCAGCATAAGCTTTCATGGGCAAAGACCCACTTCGTCAGATGCATCTGGCAAAGTAGGTCTTTGCCCACAAAAGCTTATGCTCCAATAAATCTGTTAGCCTATAACAGGACTTCCCGTTGTTCATACCAAGAGAGGTGGTGGCATGAAGCTCAAGACCTGAGAGGGGTGCACATGTAGAGACCAGAAGGAGTCAGAGGTGCAGCTAGCTCAATAACATTTGACAATTTTGTTACTCAAAGCATAACTAATCTGTGGAACTCCTTGCCGCAAGATATTATTGAAGCCAGGAGTATTGCAAGATTCAAAACCAAATTAGACATCTATATGTATCTAAAGTGTTATATTGCAGTAGCACCCTGAGGCCCCATTGTGTTAAATGCTCTACCTACAGATCATAAGACAGTCCCTGCCTTGGTATTTATAGTCTACATATACAAATTAAGGGTAGGAAGGGAAATTCAGTCCCAAACAGGGAAAATGATTTGACCAAGATGATAGAGCAGATCAGGGACAAAGCTGGGAGTAGCAAGTAGGTCTCTTTATGCCTTGTCCATTGCTGCAGCCTCTAGACTAGGGGTGGAGAACCTTTTTAGGGTCAGGGGCCACTAACACGCAGAGATATCAGTCGAAGACTGCACAAAAGTGAGAAGAAAAACAAAACCACACCACACACTCATGCACACACACAAAAATGGTTGTGGTATGATGTTCTTTTTTATTCTTATTTAGAATTTGATGTTAAAGGGGCATTGCTGGCCGCGTATAGCTCCAGTCTGCCAGACGCTGTTCCCTGCTGCAGCCAGCCAATTCAGGGAACGGGGGAGGGGAAGAGAAACTGGCCTGCTGTGGCCTCCCCTTTTTCCCGAAAGGTGCCCCATGCAAGGAAGGGGCTCGGGGCGCTTCCCTTCCCTTCCACTCTGGGAACGGATTCCCTCCTCCCTCTCCTCTCCTCTGGTCCCGCCCGGCTCCTTATCAGCAAAAGGGGCTTTGCTGGCAGCCTCTGCAGCTGCTGGCTCTTTTTTGCTGCCGCCTCCCGAAATGCCGTAGGGCTCCACCACGTGGAGCTTCTCCCTCCCGGTAGGTCTCCTGCATGCGTTTCTCCCAGTATAGGGAGGTTGCGATGCAGGGGAGGATGGGGAAGCTTTTTAAGGGGCCCCTGGGATCCACCTGAGGTATTTCTCAGCCGCTGGGCCCCCCCCAAGAAGGGGATGAAATTGTTTCACACTCCAGATCTGGCCTGTGGGTGGGGGGTTCCCTACTCCTGCTCTAGACAATAGCACCTCGTTGAATGTATGCTCAGTTACAGCAAACTGAGAACATAAAGAGTGGCCCTACTGAAGCAGACCAAAGGTGCATCAAGCCCAAGGACCTGTCCTCTGACAGTGGCCAACGCCAGGTGCCCCAGAAGGAATCAACAGGACAGGGTCACCTAGTGATCCATCCTCTGTCACCCTTTCCCAGCTTCTGGCAAACACAGGCTAGGGACACCATTCCTGCCCTTTCTGGCTAACTACTATTGATGGACCTAACCTCCATGAATTTAACTTGCTCTTTTTTAAGTAGTTGCACTCGTGCTGCAGGGCGTAAACCACTTTCTAGTTTACTAAAGGTTCAGAAGACCCCCGTTGGCAGAAATTATTCCAAGAACGCATTTCTGACATTTCCCTCTGAAGCATCTCGCCACGCTCAGAGACAGGATACAGGACTGGGAGGAACCCTAGCCTGATTGAATATGGCAGCTCCTCGGTTCCTAAGAGAAGCTGTACTTTGGCTTAAGACTTTCCCCTAATAATGGGGGACTCAGAAAGAGTCCCTGCACGTAAAACTATTTCTCAAGGGTCTGTAAAATGGGCATTATTGTCTCTCTGCAAAATGAGTCATAACAGTTCTTGCACAAAAGGGATTTTTTGCGCAAAATGGCCCCATCATTACTGCGGAAGAGAATATGCAAATGAGAGCATGGGAAATGCTAATGAGCACTTCATTTGCATTTCCTCTTCCTCAATAATGATGCCATGTAGACAGAGCCTAAGAGAGTTGAGCTGTCATACACAGAACTGCAGGAAATCTCACTACTTGGAATGTTAGTTTTGCCCTTTTCTTGCCCGCACTCATCAAAACAAAGGCGGAGGTGTGTTGCTCGACTCAGTAGTTGCATTTGTCATTTTAAAAACAATAAATCAACCACTTTATGCAGCAACTGTGAGAAATCTCCAGCTGTGGCATCCTCTGAGAGCTGTGTGCTCATCAAGGCATTTTGATGACATTATGTTAACTGTACGAGTAAAGGCCACGTCGTTTGTGTTGGTTTTCAGAACCTTAAGAGAAGTTGGTGGGCTTGTTTACAGCTTTACAACAGTTTACAGCAGTTGCATATTTAGATGGGCTTCCATGCCCGTCTCTAAAACTATGGCAATCAGAGTAGTCTACTGACTAGGAAACTTATCCTGGGAAATCCTACATAGGCCTTGCCACTGAGTTGTTTTCAAACCACAACTTCTTTGTGCCTTAGTTCCTGCTGTTGTAAAGACCCAGCCTTGCCAAGATCTCAAGTGCTTTGGATGGAAACTGCTGAGTAAGTGCAAAGTATTAGAACAGCAGTGTGTTCTAGTGAGGGATATGGGGCATGCCTAGCACCACAAACTGTTCACTTGTCCAAACACCAAGCAAGTGAACATCACTCCAGCAAAGTTCCTTTTTTGGCAAAATCTCTATGATCCAGGGCATCTTAGATCTTGCATGATCTAAACATAAAAAAGGAATCATATAAAAAATGGAAACCAAGACAAATTACAAAGGATGAATATAGGCAAACAATGCAGGAATGTAGGAGCGAGATTAGAAAGGCAAAGGCACAAAACAAGCTCAAACTAGCTACAGGCATAAAAGGAAACAAGAAGACATTCTATAAATATATTAGAAGCGAGAGGAAGACCAAGGGCAGGGTAGGGCCATTTCTCAGTGAGGAGGGGGAAACAGTAACAGGAAACTTGGAAATGTCAGAGATGCTTAATGACGTCTTTATTTCGGTCTTCACCAAGAAGTCTGATGAAGGAATGCCTGACATAGTGAATGCTAGTGGGAAGGGTGTAGGTTTAGAAGATAAAATAAAAAAAGAACAAGTTAAAAATCACTTAGTAAAGTTAGATGTCTGCAAGTCACCAGGGCCTGATGAAATGCATCCTAGAATACTTGAGGAGCTAATAGAGGAGGTATCTGAGCCTTTAGCTATCATCTTTGGAAAATCATGGAAGACAGGGGAGATTCAAGAATTTCGGAAAAGGGGAAATATAGTGCCCATCTATAAAAACGGAAATAAAAACAACCCAGGAAACTACAGACCAGTCAGTCTCACTTCTGTGCCAGGAAAGATAATGGAGCAAGTAATTAAGGAAATTATCTGCAAACACTTGGAAGATGATAAGGTGATAGGGAACAGCCAACATGGATTTGTAAAGAACAAATCATGTCAGACCAATCTGACAGGCTACGTCTACACTGGCCCCTTTTCCGGAAGGGGCATGTTAATTTCAGCTATCGTAGTAGGGAAATCCGCGGGGGATTTAAATATCCCCCGCGGCATTTAAATAAAAATGTCCGCCGCTTTTTTCCGGCTTTTAGAAAAGCCGGAAAAGAGCGTCTACACTGGCCCCGATCCTCCGGAAAAAGCGCCCTTTTCCGGAGGCTCTTATTCCTACTTCAAAGCCTTTCTAAAAGCCGGAAAAAAGCGGCGGACATTTTTATTTAAATGCCGCGGGGGATATTTAAATCCCCCGCGGATTTCCCTACTACGATAGCTGAAATTAACATGCCCCTTCCGGAAAAGGGGCCAGTGTAGACGAGCCCATAGTGTTCTTTGATAGGTTAACAAGTCTTGTGGATAAGGGAGAAGTGGTAGACGTGGTATATCTAGACTTTGGTAAGATATTTGATATGGTCTCACATGATATTCTTATCACTAAATTAGGCAAATACAACATAGATGGGGCTACTATTAGGTGGTTGCATAACTGGCTGGATAACCATTCCCAGAGAGTAGTTATTAATGGTTCACAATCCTGCTGGAAAGGAGTAACAAGTAGGGTTCCACAGGGGTCTGTTTTGGGGCTGGTTCTGTTCAATATCTTCATCAACTATTTAGATATCGGCATACAGAGTACGCTTTTTAAGTTTGCAGATGATAGCAAGCTTGGAGGGGTTGCAACTACTTTGGAGAATAGGGTCGTAATTCAAAATGATCTGGACAAATTGGAGAAGTGGTCTGAGGTAAACAGGATGAAGTTTAATAAGGACAAATGCAAAGTGCTCCACTTAGGAAGGAACAACAAGTTTCACACATACAGAATGGGAAGTGACTGTCTAGGAAGGAGTATAGCAGAAAGGGATCTAGGCGTTATAGTGGACCACAAGCTAAATCTGAGTCAACAGCGTAACACTGTTGCAAAAAAAGCCAACCTGATTCTTGGATGCATTAACAGGTGTGTTGTGAGCAAGACACAAGAAGTCATTCTTCCGCTCTACTCTGCGCTGATTAGGCCTCTGTTGGAGTATTGTGTCCAGTTCTAGGCACTGCATTTCAAGAAAGATGTGGAGAAATTGGAGAGGGTCCAGAGAAGAGCAACAAGAATGATTAAAGGTCTAGAGAACATGACCTATGAGGGAAGGCTGAAAGAATTGGGTTTGTTTAGTTTGGAAAAATGAAGATTAAGGGGGGACATGATAGCAGTTCTCAGGTATCTAAAAGGGTGTCACA